TGGCTTTCACTGCTTTTTGGTGACATCAGCTTTTAAGGTCAGGCCTGAAGCTACGGATTATGGTCTTCCATTGCCTGCTCTGTCGAGGGAAAGCCGAGACTGCCTGCTTTTGAAAAGTGTCAGTCTGTTCGGTAGATGACAAACTGAGGTTAACGCCTTGATTTATTTAGGAGCCACCAAATATGGCAGGTAGCCATGTACTTGAGGGGAGGTGCAGTCCACAGAAGCCAAAGGGCGAATCCCTAAAGTAAACTTACTTTTATTTTAGAACTCAAAACGCATTTAGAATTCAGGTGATTATTAGATTAGTGCCTTAGAATTCATACATAGTCTTAATGGAAAATACCAGGCCTTGCGTCCCTCAGAGACCAAAGAACATTTGGGGAGATCATTTCACTCTGCTCAACCTGCGCCACACTTTTATCTTTTGTTTTTTGCAACATCCTGGTAACTACAGAATTTCCAGGGCTACTTCTGGGTAGTCCCAAGAGATGGGAACATAATTAACAGTGCTCCATATAAAACACAAGTTACGTAGACCATCGCATTTTAACTACTCTCAGAATCCAGCTCTAATGTAATAGGCATCAAGTTTCTTCTGGAGGAAAACACAGCAGCCCTGTGCTATCTGAGTCTTCAAGATCTCTCTGACAGCCCTGCGTGGCCCTGTCCCTGCACAAGATGCTGTGCTGTGATAAGTGAGTCAGATGATGCAATTAGGAAGCAGGCTCTCCAGGCTACCCTTCTAATCACTCAGCCACGTCACAAGCTTATTCCAGCCCGCCTAGTTTTCTGGCACCGCAGGCCCACGCCAATCAAGGACTTGCAGCCCTGTATTATAATTAACCTCCCTGAACTGCAAGGCGCAGAGAGGTCACATCCTGCCAGTGCCACAATAAATTAAGCCAAATAACACCCTCAAGAATCCCCTTTTAACCATAATGGAAGCTCTGAATCTCTACACACAAGATCTTGACAAACGCTTTTTGTAAATCAACAGACTTCAAAACTATTTGGGGGAGATCATTTTAAACCATAAACTGGAGACTGAAGGTTACACAGTGTGATGTTTAATGGGAATGCCTTCTCTCTCTCTCTCTCCTAGCCAACAACATTCTGTGTTTACTGATGTGCCGCGCAAGCCCGAGGGCCATAGGTACAAAGGACGCAAAGGAGGTTCAGAGAAGAATCACACCAACTGAGAGAAGTCAGTGAAACTGGAACTTTTCTATAGGTTGGAGATTTAAGGAAAATTTAATAAGAACCCTGAAAGCAAGGAAATAGCTCAGTTACTATATTTTGCCATTGAAAGAGGACCAGAGAAAATTAAATTACAGCATAATTTAGTTATCAGTCAGAAAAAAAGATTTAATAAATTTACCTGATAAATTTATTGCATTTATTACCCGTTAAAGGTAATGTTTTGAATGGGCTGGCAGGGGCTTCTAAAAGATCTTTGTTTATTTTGAATTTTATTATAATTATTTTTACATAAGGGACATTCTTATTTCTCACTTTACTATGCAACTCTTTTAAATAGTGAAGTACTAATTTTCCTGTAAATATCTCTCTTTGGGCTCTCCCTGGCTTTCTAGTTATTTTCTTTCCTATTTTCTCTATCAAACACGGTCAACTTCTCAATCAGTCGGGTCCGGCTTGTGCCAGCTCACGTGCAGATGAAAGCAGCACGGCTGCTGGCTGCTGCAGCACCGTCGGTAGGCACCCGCGAGGCCCCAGGATGGGAAGGGAAGAGGAGCCGAAGAAAAGGGAGACGGCAACCAGGGGCGTGGACAGTCACACGCGTGAGCCTCCGGGGAATGATCAGGACCCCGAAAGAGAACCGGGATGCAGGAAGAAGGCGACGGACTCATCCAGGATTCCCTTACACAGCCTCCAATGTGAAAGAGAAAGAAAGCAAGAAAACAGGAAGTTCTAACTGAATTAAACAAACAGGCTTCGGGGAGGTGGGGGCTGTGTATACTCAAAGCGCAGACTCAGCCCGCCCCGACCCGGGGCTCAGCTCGGCGGGGAGGGCCGGCACCCTCCCCTGCCCGGCATCCCGGCCACCAGCGTCGGATCGGGCTCTCCCCCATCTCTCCGTGAACTAACTTTCTCCACCGGTGCAACGGGAGGAAAATCCCTGCCACGCCTCCCCTAGGTTAGGAAAGCCAGTGAGGGAACTTGTTAGAGCCCACCGAGGTTCCCGTGGTCCCGACAGTCGCGCCAGGCGCAGGACACCTCTGGTAGCTTTTAAACTATTTGTTCAGAGTGCACTGGTCTTTATTCCCGGTCTTACAAAAATGCACATAAATTCCAGAGCTGCCTCCCACAGAGGGAAACCACCCCAAATGCTCCGATTCTGAGGTTGGCCCCCAGACACTGGATCAGGCAGCCAGTGGGTTTGCCCGGCCAGCCCCCAGGCCTGAGAGGTCCTGAGGAGAGGGGGCGGGCAGCCACCGCGTGCAGGGGGCTTCAAGGCCGATGGAATTCTTAGCTGTTTTTGTTGTTTTAACCATTTTTCAGGTATTTTGTTTCCTTTAAGTATTTTATTTTTCCTCTAGTGAAGGGCTTATTTTTTAATGCTCTTCTTTGTTAACAGGGTCCTCCTATTAATAAGATCTTCGTTTTTTAAAACTTACTTTTCATGTGGAAGGCAAAATACTGTTTTAGAAGGTTTGTTGTCCAAATGTCAACTCTTGTGAATACAGTATATCTTAATCTCTCCCTATGTCCAGCACATTTCCAAGGATGCAGAAAAGCCCCTACGTTAGGTATTTGAAAAATAAAATGTAGATAGAAGACTATTCTAAAAGGTGCCAATTGCTCTTTGGTTTAAATTTTTCCCCCTTGAGCTGAGTAAAAGAAATGATACCTAGCAATTTTTTAAAGGATTTTTCTCCTCATCAAAGCCCAGCACGTACCAGCAATGAATCTTTCATAAAGCATTCGATCCTTCTCAGACAGTTTCTCTCACTGGAGACCAGCTTTTCAAAAAGATGCAGCACTGCTTTTTCAAGGCTGGGAAGGTGCCGAAGCCAGAGGCAGAGTACAGCTGACACGGGGAGACAAATCTTCCTCCTTTCAGTAAGAAATGAACACAAATTTAAATAGAAATGAGTTACTGAAAAAAGATTAGGAAAGTTCAGAATGCAATAACAAATCCAATCTGTGACCTTTTTTTTCCATATGGTCATAAGCGGTTAATATTTATAGTATCAATGAATATTTTACCAAGTACCCTTTTGCAAAATGTGAATATGCTTGTACTTCAACTCTAGAAAAAAAAATGCTTTCATAAAGGACAAACAAACATACAGTGATGGAAGAAAGAGAGTGATTAAAAACAGTAATGATATTGAGATAGCCAGGTATATGCAGTCCCTAATTTAAGAAATAGTTATGTTTGAAAGTATATCATGATGGTTTAAAACATGGAATCAGACCGGGGTTTGAGTCCCAGGGCCCCCACTTACTAACTATATGACCTTGGGAAAGTTACTTAACCTCTAAACCTCAGTTTACTCATCTGTAAAATGAGAATCTCTCCCTCACAGTGTTGCCAGAAGGATCAAATGCAATAACAACACGTGTACAGTGATTAGCACAGTTCATGACACACGGTAAATATTTAATAGCTGTACTCGTTAAGTCTGCTGCAAATTTTCTCCAGTATCAATTTCATAAAAGGTGGTTACAGCCTGGTTGATTCATAGCTGATCCACAGCGTGATACTCTATAACCCTAATTTTGTGCAGCTACATTTCTATAGGAAAATGTATTTGGAGGTTCCTCCTGTGCCAGGTCAGTCAACCAGGGGTTCTGCTTCTCCTGGGAGGGAGCATGAGGCGGACGTCTGTCGAACTCTGAGCCACCAGTGGGAGGGCAGCGGGGCTGCCCCCACGGAGCCCGCCCTGCGAGCACTGGGCCTAGTCTGGCCTGGCGACACTTGCCTTTCTGCTCTTGGCCCTGCTTTTCCAAGGCCTCATGCCCTTTCACCCATAGCATCACAGGCAGCAGAGTGCTTTCCAGGTTCTGCCAAAGACGTTTACTGCTTTTAATAAGAAAAACAAAAGCTGGAGGCACAAAGGTTCCCCATTACCCCATAACCCCTTCAATGTCTTTCCCTGCACCGTCACTTCTGGGCCATTTCTCTGCAGGAGCTGGCACAGAGCCCAGGGAATGGGTACAGGGGCAGGAAATGAACAGGCGAGACCCAGGGTAGCAATTTCTAGTGGTTTCTCTGTTTCTTCTCCCTCAGCATAACTCCTGTAGACTTTGTCCTGGATTAACTCTGGGACAAGACTAGAAGAAGCTGAAGCGTTGTGGGGTCTGTCACAGGAGCAGGCAGAAGGGCAGGAGAAAGGGAGGAAGGGATGGCTTGCATCTGACCCTCTGTCTGCTCTCCCATTCTCACCCCGAGCGTCACCTCTTCTGAGAAGTCGTGCTGGACCCTCTTCCCTCCCTTCCCCACACCCGGCAGGGAAGAACTGCTATGGTGCCTCAACCTCTTGTCACCCGGCACGTCCTGGGGCCACACTATGGATGCCCTCTATTGTGGCATGAGTGCTTTGGGCTGCCACTCCCATGCCACCTCCCCGGTCATACTCAATAGCTAGGAGCTGCAGTCACGCATTCAAGGAAGATGACCGAGCACTTCCCATGTGGCACTCAGTGTGCAGGCCGAACAACTGGGAACAAAGCAGACCTAATCCGTGCCCCTGGCAGTTCAGGGCCCAGTGGTAGGTGTGCACACAGACATATACCAAATTATGATAAAGGCAATGAAGGAAAAGGACAGGCTGAGGTAAAAGCGAGTAACAGGGAAGTCAGTTTAGATCGGGTGGCCAGGGACCGTCTCTCCAGCTGAGTTTAGCTAGAGATTAGCTAGGTGGCAGGAAGGGCCCTCTAGCAGAGGGGAGGTAGCCGTGATGGGAAGAGCAAGATCAGAGGGAGAGAAGCCCTGGACAGCAAAGGAGAGGTGCTTGGGATGAGGCTGTGCAGTACCACAGGCGAAGTACAGCTTTGGAATTTTATTCTGGGAATCTTTTGGCCCAGAGGTTTTAAACGGCAGACTGCCAGGATCTGATTTACATTTCAAAGATCACCCTGACTGCTGCATGGAGAGCTGAGGGCAGAGGCTAGAGCGGGTACAGGATCCCGGGGGAGCGGGTGCTAGCTTGGACCTGGGCGGCCTTGGAGGAGAGAGACAGAATGTATTTCAGCAGTAATATCAAGACACTGGCAATGAGTTTGATGAGAGGTGGTGAAGTGGAAGTAGGAATCGAGGCTGTTCCACGTTTCCTGAGCTCCAGGATGGATGGACTGAGCGTTTTCTGTGCTAGGAAGAAGGGGAGAAAAGACTTGTGAAGGACTTACTAAGAGCTCAGTTTGAGGTATGTGAATTTAGAATGTCTAAGGCACAATCCAACAGTGATACAAAATAGGTCCTTGTATCCTAGTTGGAAATTAGGGAGCTGTCAGCTGGCATGGAGGGGCAGGGGAATGGAGAATTCCGAGGGAGAGAGGTCTGGACAGGGAGAGAAGAGGGCTCAGGTCTGTACCCTGAGGAGTTTCCACAGGTAGAGGAGGAGGCCGAGGAGTTGCAGACAGAAGGAGTGCTGGACACGCAGGAGACACAGAAGCAGAGAACAGTGTCACCAAGGAGGAGGCGGCAGGCCTGGCTTGACCAACTCTGCTGAGAGGCTGAGGACACGGGGAGGGCATCGGGAGCCCTTTGTGACCTCCCCAAGAACAGAGGGTAGGTGGGGCGATGGACACTTAAGGCGGAAGTGCAACTAGCACTGCAGGCAGGCTTTCAGGGGGATGGCTGCGCTGGGAGTGACACCAAGAAGCCACCACACAGGGGTGGTGGCCTGTGTGCTCCTCAAGGCTGGCTGCTGATGGGCCAGACGCAGAGGACTGGGAGAGGCTGAAGGACCAGCAGCGGCCATTTGTTAAGGGCTGACCAACAGCGCTAAGCACTTCACTTGTATTTTCATCCTCACAACAACCCTACAAAGCAGGTACCAGTATGACCCTTATTTTACAGACAAGGCAATTGAGGTCAGAGAGGGACCAAGGGCTCGCAGCTATGACTGGAACCCAGGAGGTCCGGTTGCCGGAGCTGGTCCTCAGCCCCAGGTCACAGAGAAGCCTCTCCACTCTGTAGGCAGGAGAGTGGGGGGTGCTGCTCAGAAGTTGGGGGCCTGGCCTGGGGTGAGAGCAGACAGTTTTCTTGGGTGAGCCAGATGCCTGGACTCTGTGTTTGCTCTCTTCAGTGCCTAGGGAAGTCTTTTCAAAGTCCAGGCTGCCGCTGATCTTAGCCACATTAACAGACCCCTGGGGAAGGATTTCCGTCCAGCTTTCTTGAGGAAGAACATCCTTTGGGAGTGAGGGAGGGTGTCTGTAGCCTCTGTCTCAGAGCCAGAAAGCCCCCGAGGCAGGAAAGCTCTGAGGTGCAGAGGGAAGAACCAGACCGCAGAGGCTCCTCCCTTCCCAAACAACAGGGATGTCTTCTGACCTGCTCTCATCACACCTGATCTTTTTTCAGGATCCATACGACATAAAGACGTACATCATTAGAAAAGTTTCTCACTTCAGTGAGAGTTCAGAGGCGGCCCCCTTCCCGCGCCCTCTGAGCAGCAGTGTGCATGAAGTGTGATGTCTCCCATCAGGCCACAGCGGCTGAGCGATGCCCAGCAGCACAGAGGTACTAGCTGTTGAGAATGGACAGCAGGTGAGTATGAATAAGTGTAAGTAAAAGGAAGCTGGTGTAAAAAGGTAGTTCCATCGAATATCTGAGTTAAAAGATACTGTTTAGTTACATATTTACATAAGAGTTACGTAAGTTCTATACTAAAGTCAGGAAGTACATTATATTTTTGTTCTAGTCTCAGAGTTTAAAAAACTGAGTGTGTTAACAATTGTCTTTTCATTTCCCTTGATTCAGAGCACACTCTACTAATTATTGTGAATGATTAAATCTATAGACCCATGTTTAGTATTTGAATCATCTATTAACAAAAAACCTATTTTGCTCTAAAACATCAAAGACTTAACTCTTAATAGTTAATCTTGGATGAAGAAATCACCAAAGCAATATGATCTTAATATACTTACATAACAAAATTTGGTTGGACCAACACATTGGTATTCTACACAATATTCTAAATTTGCACCAGTTTGGTTTTGAAATAAAAAATTACATTACAGTGAATGTAAATTATATCTCAATAAAACCAGGAAAAAAGGAGGCAAATAATAAAAGCAGAAATATAAATGACCAATAAAAATATGCAGACTTTCAACCTTATTAATAGTAAAGACAGGTAAACTAACACTCCAAGGAGGTATCATTTTTCACGCTCACATCAGCAAATGTTCAGGTGAGTGACAGCACCCAGCACTGAAGCAGGCACAGAGGACGGCTGTCCTCAGAGGGGGGCAGGGAGTGGCTCTGCCCTTCTGGTTAGGTCACGTGACACCACCTAGTAAACTGTAAAATTCATATCCCTGGCCATCAGAACTATGCTTTTGTGAATCTGAATGGCAGAAATAAAGGCATTAGTTGCAGGATATTGACTGCAGCGATGTTTTAAAGACAAAATTAGAAACAACTTGAATGCAAAATAGCTAAATAAATTACGGTCCATTCATATCAGGGAATATGTTCCTATTTTATAAGAATGAGCTGGATCTATATCTCTTGAGGAACACCCAAGACATGCTAGTTAAAAAATAGGTTCCAGGGTCATGTGTATGGTGTGATGCTGTTTTTGTTTTGTTTTTGTTTTATAAAAAGCTACTTAAAAAAGAGAGAATCAACTCATCTTCGACAAAGGAGGCAAGAATATACAATGGAATAAAGACAGTCTCTTCGGCAAATGGTGTTGGGAAAACTGGACAGCAGCCTGT